AGGATGACCAAACATTTAAAAATCAAATGATAATCTGTCACACAACAACCTTCATTGAAATGTACCAGTACTTTTCCCAGAAAATAACACAATTATGTAATCCGACTAAATCTAGTAAATTTCTGGATGTTTTATAAAAAAATTTCAAACATAAAGAAAAGTCAATGTTCAACAAATGGAATAAAATTGAAAGCTGCTGAATCTAATAAGACTTTACGATTTTATTCGTTCGTGTTAGCCTTTGAGTAAAATAAAAATCAACATCTTGCGTCTGGAAATTCCGGTGTAAAAGAACATATGCGTGCAGCTCACATCTAGGCTTAAAAATAAAAAAAAAAACCACAATCAAGCCTCGTTTGACAGAAATAATGATCAAAGAAAGCATTTTCACAATCTTCTGAAGAAAACCTCACAAAATACTTTGAGTGCAAACGCCGGAAAAAGTAAATGCACGAATAGATGGGAATTATTATTTGAATCACGAATCGAATGGCATCCCAACAAGTTCTCGATTTGCAGTTCATAAATATGGAATCATTTCAGAAACCAAACAACTTCGATTTCCTACACACTTGAAAAAGCAGAGAATTCGACTAAATATCGAATTATATGTGTTCATCTTAATAGAATTTCCAAAAACCGTTTGTAAATAAACACTACGCTTTGTTAGCCTTCTGTGATGATTAATGAGCTTCCTAACAAATTGATTGTGAGCAGAAAAAAAAAAAACTACTATTTAGCATAACTCCTTCTGGAGTTGTCTACTTCAGCAAAGTTGCATTAAGGTAAATAAATCATTGTAGCGCTGAAACAATAATAATTAAAATAACGATAGAGAAAAATTTTGATGTAAAAATATATGATGTAAGCTTTTTAGGCCGGAAAATATTTTACCGGCAATTTCAATCCAACCGGTAATTTGTACTAAATGCTTGCTCCACCTTATCACCAGTAGATCGTCCAAGATCGACACAAGAAACAACAAAAAACCAGTGAAATATTAGTATCAGCCGTGTCTTAAAAGTAAAGTTAATGAAATTTTAAAAAGTTGAACTAATTTTCTCCACACGCATATGGAATGCGCTGTACATGAATATAGCTTAATCCTTATCAAAGATTTACCTGGGAAAAATTGTATTTTGCCAATGACCCCATACACAATTCCACGGCATTTCAATGACCAGGCCTCGCCCAAATCAACTCCTGTGGTAAATAAAACTCACATTACTTTTGTATTTGGTACACCGAGTAACAATCGATCATGGAAAGGTTTCGCCCAAACACCGGTCGACAGTCAAAACGAGGCCTTACCAAAGCGTGGCTGAAGGCGGCCGTCAAGCCTGTTACACCACAAACTATCAGGTCCATTTAGAATGATGAAGTTGTCCTGAGCTTGGAATAGTTCCATCTTTTAACCAGGAGCGAGGGACGAACTATAAATCCCATCTGCGAGCATTATCCCGACTTCCGAGTTTCTCTGTCAATGTTTCCTAGCCGCCATGTTGTGTTTTGGCTGAAGTGCCTTTGTTACCCACAACTCCCAGCGGACTTGGCAAGCTCTGTGCGCACGAGATCTCATTGTCTTCCGAGACAGCGTGCTGTTGTTTAGTTTGAGCTGCTCTCTAGGATCGTTTTCCTCCTCTAAGTAGTTTTTCCACGATGAACTGATGGATCAAATACCCTGTATCCCGTTGCTGTGTGTGAAAATTGTTTCAATCAGAATTAAAAATAGACTGGTTTTGTGACATGATATTTTTTCTTTTTTTTCAAGGGGAGGGGGGGGGAAGGTAAGGTGCGGGGGGGGGGATTCCTTTAGAGTTCACTGAAATTATTCCCCCTCAAAGGCACCCCCCTTTATCGAAGGTTATTTTAAGTTTTAAGTTTTTAGTACAGAGATCGATCGATCTGTCAAACCTTTAAATTAAACAAAGCGAGAGGAGGGAATCTAGATCATTCTGGTACATTTGTAAGTCTTTACATCCCTTATCTTCGTTTCTCTGAAGCAATGATTGCTCGAAGATTGCGTCATATCTCGCTGTAATCATGTAATCACCGGTCACGAGGTGATTATAGTAGGAAACTTGAAAATAATCAATCTTAGAGACCAAGAAAGTCATGACTCTGGTAATCTTCTGGTAAATTGAAATATGAAAAATGGGTGCCTACTTCAAATGATAAAGACATCATGAGAGCTCTTTTAAATTCCTCCGCTGAAAAGGACCGCAAGACTGAACAACTGAATTGTATCGAGACATCACGTGCAAAAAGAATAAGAAAGGACGTCCCATATCCCCCCCCCCCCCTCACATTCGCAAAAAGGAAACAGTTGATATGGCAACGCACTTGTATTCTGACCTTTTACGGGTATACTCTTTTCTTCAAATAATTTTTTTTTCTTTTCTTTTAGAAGATTAAAATTAATTGCACAGCAATCAGAATTTTAAACGAAGGCAATTACCGAAGCGCAAAGTTTGTCTTTCCTTTCCCTAGTTTTGAAATAAATGGGAGGTCTTAATCATTTCAGAGAGTAGAGGTTTTCGGCGATCGAATAATAAAAAGATTTATACAGAAAGCCTGTAAATACTTCTTGCATATCGCCCTTGACGGGATATTTATACGAGCGCCTAGGTTGCGCAAAATGTGCGCAAACCTTATGTACCCAGTATAAATTTCTGCCCCTCTTTCATCTATTAGTAAAATATGCTAATCTCGGCTCTTAGCCATCAGTTTCTAGACAAACCGTTATATTTTTGACCAACACTCGTCTGTTAGCTGAGCCCCGCGCAAGAATTGAATACACCAAAACTTTTTACGGAAGTCAGTTGACTTACCAAAAAAAAAGCTAAGAATGGTGCGGGGAGGATATGGAGTCATTTGGTGATGGATAGATGAAGGGAGTTTCGGGTCCTAACCACAACTTAGAAATGATTTTCAGCTAATTTCCGAATTAAATTTAAAATGCCATCTACAAATATTATAAAACGTAAATGAATTTCGTGAAGAAGAGTGTTTCGTGCATAATTATGATAAAAGGGACAATCATTTAAAAGTGATTACCATGGCCACAGCTGACCTAATTCCTTTCAGTAGCCTTCGCGTTGCATAGAGATCATTTGCCTAGCTGACTTGTTCACTTGTGTTTGGAAAACAAGGTGTTAAGAACGAGCTATTCTCAGGTATGATAAGTATCGTATTTTACACCAAGGCTTTCTCGTTAATTGCTCTGTGGTAACGCCGCCTGATATCTTTTTGTTAAAGGCCTTAGGCCAACACTTTACCCTGGGGTGATGTCTGAGAACGCGACAAAAAGGATACATTTCTTTCCCCTTTTCCGTAAAGCTGTTCTACGCCGCAGGCGCCCGCTGTTTCTTTAGAAAGCCGCTGAAATTGAAAGAAGGTTTGTAATTGTGAGTAAAGGATCTCATTTCATTGCAAATTTGACGAACTAAGCAGGATTGAAGTAATAGATGTTGTTTGTTTATACTCATCAAATGCATTTAACAATAATCTGTGTTGCGCACGACTTCTGAGACGAGGGGGTTTTATTTCACACAAGAAATAACATCTTTTTCGAGGAAACCAAAAAAAGATTGTTCTACCTAAAGAAAAAGAAATTATCCACAGCTCTAGGTGCACGTCGCATTTTATGAGAACTATAATAAAAAAGCTCGTTATGGCCTATTACATCCTAGAGCTCTCTGTAACCCAGTGGTAGAGCACTGAATCGTACATAGAGAGAGTCTGCGGTTTTATTCCTTACGAGGACTCAGAGATTTTTCGTTTTTCTTCTTTCTCATAAATTTTGGAAGTAAGTTTTTAAGATATTTTTCAGTGATCTCTCGTTACATGATGAAATTAACATTGCTGCTTAGTTATGTGACAATTTTGTTAATAACGTTGCGAAATATTGCGGAGGATACAAAGAACTGCTCTTCCATTTGCAGTAATTAGTTGTTTAACCCTCCGGAAAATGCAGATAAATGAATTGACTCGTATGGTAAAGGTTTCTGCAATGGCCTTTGTCTCCTTCCGATTTTGACGGTTGAAGGGTTTAAGCCTTGGAGTGCCCCTGAGACTGGTTGACGGTTATTCGGATAACATTTTTTACAATGATTTTTAAAGCATATTAATTTTTTTCTTTAATATGAATCATTGAATTATATTCAATTTTATTTAGTATTTCACCTAGTTCCCAATATGATAGTTAAAATTAGCATTAGCGCCAGACCTCTCGCCATACTGGCGCAGACTTGCTTTGCTTAAGGCCCTTAATTAATTCCATCTCCTTCTCCTTCTCCTTCTCCTTCTCCTTCTCCTTCTCCTTCTCCTCCTTCTCCTTCTCCTTCTCCTTCTCCTCCTTCTCCTTCTCCTTCTCCTTCTCCTTCTCCTTCTCCTTCCCTTTCTCTTTCTCTTTCTTCTCCTTCTTCTCTCTCTCTTCTTCTCTTTCCGTTCTTCCTTCTTCTTTTAATTTGTCTTCTTTTTCGTTTTCTTTTTCTTCATCTTCGTCTTCGTCTTCGTCTTTTTCATAAGCAATATCTTATTGCGTGCAAATAATAGTGGCTCCTGATCAAGGCACGACATTAATACCGCTTATCTGATTGTTGTAGGAAACCAACGAAGGAATGCGGGTCAGTTCTTTAAGCCGTCGTCACTTCTTCTTTATTTTAGCCATTGGAGGAGTCGCAATCTTCGCGTTCACAAACATGAGGAGTAAAAATCTTGGTGGGTAGGTTTAAATTTCGTGCACATTTGCATACCACGAAAATTGTTCAGAATGTATATCAACAAAAAAGTTATCACTTCAGTCATATAAATTTTTAAAGAAGGAGTTGGAGGTTAAGGCTATCTCGTATCTATTCCTTCCGTGGCCTAGAAGGCAGGATCTGTGTACGATATTTAATTTCTCCGAAAAAGGTTTACCCAGAGCGAAGTTTATTTGTCAAATGAAAATAAAGTTGTTCATCTGAGTTGAAAATTAGCTTCTGTTTGTGTACTTGCGTGTCTTATCCAGTCTTGTCCTGAACTCGCCAAGTTCGAAACGAGCGGAAGTCTGTATACGAATTGCTACCGCAAAGTCGCTATGGATCCTTTTATGGGAAAGTACTGCCACAGAATCCTCAACGACCCTCCGATACGGTAGAAGAAAGCAGTCCTCGCTAAAAAGGAAGCGATGAAATACTCTCAGCTTACTTCGAAGGCAGAGGGAAATGAAAAAGAACCCATCTGCCCTGGATAGATTGTTTTAGAACAATATCGACAGCTGATGAAAATTGTACATTTTATTTTTGTCTTTCACAGTCACCATTTCGACCGTTCAAGAGCTAATTTCGAGTCCTGAATTAAACCAAGTTATGACACAAATTGCGCGAACAGATGGAAATGGAACTACCCCAGGTAACTACCTTAACTTCATTTTTGTTCCAATTTCATATACAAGGCAGTCGAATCATTCAGCCTCGAATCATGGAAGACATTTAGTTTGCCTGAACATGTTACGCAAAGGGGCATTTTTTCCCTCTGCAAACCTTAATGAAGAGCATATCGAACTGTCATCCGTCAATTACTTCGACAAGTCTATTTTTTTATCACGTGTTCAAAAGTCTGCCAAAATTTAAATTTGAAGTAAGCTGTCAATGGTTACGAAAACAGTGAACCAATCCGCCTCGCTTACAATTGACCAATCAACGTTGGATGGAAATCATTACTTTAGTATTCATGGGTAAAGTAGATTGGATCAATATCGGTATCTAGGCAACTGCCCATCTACCCCTCCCCTAACCCAACATTAACTTTAACTTGTTGTCAATTGACTGTTGTTGAGTTAGGGGACGGGTAGGTGGGAAGTTGCCCAGATACTGATATTGATCCAGTAGTTTAAAGCTAGAAGGGATGATTATGCAAATGATCAAACAAATATTTCCCTATTGACACCACAAAATGGGTTCATTGGAGCTTCCATCTCAAAGATACTTAATTTCCCCATGATCTTCCAAATCCAAAGAGATCCTGTCAGGTCGGGGGGCGTTTTGTTTTACCTATGCATTTTCTTATCTTATTAGCAGAAAAAGATGAGTACAAGACCATTGATACGCTGCTGTTTTTTGTTGGCTACCCAAGAAGTCGTCACACCTTAATGGCATCTCTGCTGGATGCCCACCCTCACATGATCGTGGCTAACGAAAATAACCTGTTTTACCGGTTGAAGAATGGTAAAAAGTATGAAAGGAGCCAGATGTTTGATACATTAATTGAGGGTTCCAAAGGTTTTCTAAAAGGAGGTAAAGGAATAGTGATGAAGGGAAACCTTCAAAACACTTCTCATTTTGGATTCTGGATGGAAGGTTACTGGCAGGGGAGTTATGATAAGTACATTAAGGTGAGGCTTTAGAACATGACTCGTTCTCGTGTTGTTAATTGGTGGTGATGGGAAGGCCTGGTACCGACACAATGGCGAAATGAGTGCGTATGCTCCGCTACTCGAGCCATTTGAACGTTCAGGACTGCAGTTCTTCTTCTGCAAACATAACCTGACACGAGTTTGTTCGCCGAGACATCGGGTATTTTCTCTAGAGGCTTGCTTACTGAGGATACAATGATAAAAAGCGCTAACGCAATGACAGCTGCTACGAACTCCGTAGCCACGTTACAGCTGCTCAATTTTAGTCCCTAAATTCACACTTGTCATCAAAACGCTTTTTATGTTGAGTGAGAATGTTGGATGTGAGAAGGTTGGACAGAAACTTTTCTGAAAATGGCAACCTTATCTATTTTTGTTTAGTCTTATCTCTTCCGAAATGAAACAAACAACGGGAATGTTAAAAATGCTGCCATTTTGTCTTAATAGTGTTACTATGGAAATATTGTCGTTCTCATTCCTTTGCACGTGAAATTTCTCGCAAATTACAAGTAAACACACTCATTTTGTCGATATGTCCCCGGTAGTGACTTCCTCCGACACATGCGTTCCAGATCTCGGCCGCACCCAAGATCCTATTGGCCTTGGGTGGAAATTACTTGAGATCCGCTGGTGTGTTTGTGGTTCAGTACCTGCCTTTACAGCCTAAAATAACCAAATTTTTCGATAATATTTAAATTGTGAAGTCTATTTTAAAGTACTTAACTCATGATTTTGCTAGTCTTAATTGTAATTGCCACACACAAACCCACTATGGAGATGTGCCAATGAATTTGATTGTTCTTTGTTCAAGCAAAGGTTCTTTGTCATCATTTTAATGCAAAGAGACGCTATAACAGAGTGAACATCAAGGGTTTTTTTTTTATTACTAGGACTGTTTATACTTTGTACTCTATTTTTCATTTCCATTATTGACGAAGTTATATAACAAGAAATCCTCCAAAACGTATCGAAATAGCAATTTGGTTATATTATGCCACCGTAGTAAGTGCATTGGGTAGGGGTTTCTGCAAAGTCAAACTTCCTGTAAACTGCTTGGAAAGGAAAGTTGAATGCGATGCTTTTGTCCAATGGTGATATAGATGAAGATGATCAATATGAACCCTCGTTACTTAAGTGAAAGATTCAGAAAGATGATGTTATTCAGTGAATGACACAGGCACACTTGGAGAAAATGAAACAAAATTATTGCAGTTATTCCTCTCCATTGTTTTTTTTTAAATTCGTATCTAGGTCATTGGCGACAAGACTGCATGGATAAATTCTGGAGTATTTCGGAGCACTACCCCTGAAGACGTAACAAAATTAGTGGATGACATCGAGAAGAAATACAGAGTCAAAGTAAAGTTCATCCACATGATGAGGAATCCGTTTGACATTGTGTCAACAATAGTTTTACGCAACACCAAGGAGAAAGGCGGCAGGTTTAAAGACCATTCCCAAAAAGTAAGAAGGAATGTACTGTATTTCCTCGAATATGCACCCACGCTTCAATAAGCGCCCCAATAAGCACCCCGCCTATAATAGGGAACGCCGAAGTTAAAAGTTCTCAATCCTAATGCTCACTAAACCATTTTTTTCGGCAAAGTTTGATTAAAATATTTAAACGTTTTCTTCACCGTTGATAATTAGCGTCAAAGCGCGCAAGAATTAGCCTTATTCTTCTTTTAGTCGTCGTCTGCTCATCAAAATCGTTTCTGCTTAAATTATCTTACTTCAAACAAGCACCCCTTTCGAATAGCCCGCCCCCCCTCCATCATCCTTCCTTAAACAGTTGGGTGTTACTAAATTATTGGGAGCTTCGTATCATGGAGTTGTCTTTTGATTCGTATTACGTGAGTCTGCTGTCGCGATATTCAGGTAACGGAGAGAGACCTGGATCAAAACTGCGTACTAAAAGGTTAGAGTAAGGGAAGGGAAGAAAGAGCAGGGGTATGAGGTGGGGGATATTTTGGTTGGGATAACTGACCTCGACCGCGAGTACGTTGAACCTTCAAAATTTTCAAACCAACCGTTCCACCACCTCGCCGAATGACCTTAGACTTAAGAGTCTGCTTTGATGTTTGGTTTAATTTTGTTAGTAAGAGTTGGTTCTCTTTGCATTTTTCATCCCAAGGTCGATGACCCAAAACTGTTGGAAGAAAGCATGGAGAGATTTTTCAACTGGGCTCAGGGAAGTGCTATCGCCAGAGAAGTCTTAGGAGACAAGCTCCTTGACGTGGACGGTCTTAAACTCGTGAACAAACCCATAGAGTACATGTCCAAAGTGTGTCAATTTATTGAAATCGCGTGTTCTGACGAATACCTCATGGCATGCGCAGAGGTTGTGGATTCCACACCATCTACAACTAGAGATTGGGTAGTTTGGAGCAAAGAACATAAGAACAGAATGTATTCTGAGTTCGAAAAGTATCCCTTTTTATCTCATTATTCATTTGATGATTAACTGTATACCAATAGATTAGAAACTATATAAAATTTATAATTTATAAACAAATTATAAATTAATGGTCGTCGTTGCCAAGTTAATATGTAGAAGTTGAATAATATAATAGCCATATTAAAACATCAGAGATCTTGCAACGAGAATTTTCTCTTTCCTTTTGATGCACGAAACTTTGTCTGCAGAATTCTAGTAAACATTTCACATGCAAAATTGCACGTCCGAACGCCAGGGAAATATATGCATTTTTATCTTAAATCCCCTGTATCTTTAGACTTCTCAGTGGAAAAAAAGAAATGCTTGAAAATCACAATTGTGACGCAGATGGAAATTCCTCATCTTTTTTCCTCACCATCAAGAAGAAACTGAAATAATAATAAAATTTTTAACATTATTAATTATCATGAATAATGATTGTTAGGATAATTATAGCAGTAGTCGTAGTTACTCGATAATTTCGCCAAGAAAATAAAATTGCTTCTGGAAACTCTTGAGCAGGGATTGAACAACTTCTGAACAAGTGATAGTTTATGTAATTTTAGGAGTTCTCCGCGCCTCTACCAACATATTACAATTTATGTGTTCCTGAGCTATTTAGTAAACATCTTGTAGATTAAACTTACAGCTGAGAATTGTAACCTTGGTAAAATTTGAAGAAGCCACTTCTTTCAAGTAAATTTAATTCGCTAAGGTCTCCAAATTATAAACGAGATTTTAAATGCTGTAGTCTCTTTGCAAGTATGAGGTTTTTCTAACATTAGGAAACTTGGAACTATACTTCTCAAAGTAGTGATTAATATAAATGTTCTATTAGATTCATTCATTGAATGGCAAATATTCTGCAGTACCAAGTAACTAACAGGAATAATTCAGAAGTATTCGCGACATCATTCCTTTGCTATAAACCCTTTCCTTCTACGACGAATTGTTCGATTTTATGGCTTTGCTTCTGTCAAATCTAAATGCAATACTTTTTTTCAGAACCGAAGAACATATCGAATTCCTCCGTAGTCCACAGCCTCTTGAAGAAGCTTGAATATTCGATTTGTTCTCAATCTGACCAGCTCCGTCAACGTTACGCTGTCCTCAGTCTTTTGGGAAATTTATTAGTACATGTAGCAGTCTATAATGCTATAAAAAGGTAAGACGGAACACGCTAAAATTGAATCTCTATTTTACCTTGTCCTTTGTGTGAGAAATGTGGCGAGGAGCTTGAGTAACACTACTGTTAAGAGTACGAGGAACGTAAATTGGCCACCGTAAAGAGTTTAAAAGCTGACGTTTCGAGCGTTAGCCCTTCGTAGAGCGATTGACGAAGAGCTAACTCTCTGACGAAGGGCTAACGCTAACGATCTTCATATATTTGAGTGCGTCCGTCCTTCAATATATAAATGATACGTAAAAAATAGTCAAAATGTCAGTCAGTTCAGCTTATTATATAAAGGCTTTTATAAAACGATTCTCACATCAATTGTAGATCTTCGACTAGGGTGCCTACGTCAGTGTCACT